CAGGAGAGGAGGAGGGGGCAGGATGACAAAGGCTGCAGCTGCCTTTTCTTCTCCCAAAGCAAGGTGAAAAATGACATAATGGCATTCATTCTCAGGTAACCTCACTTTGACACTGATACCCTTGAAACTAATCCAACAATTGGTTTGTGATTACAAGATTTGTACCATTTACTGAAAGACCGAAATCGATGTTAGTTTGAAGATGGAGTTTATGATAAATGTTTTTAATCATTCATACATCCGTTTTAGTCGTACTATTGTAGACTGACCATGATAAAGCCCACATTTGAGAAATCTGAAGATGTCAGGAGCAATCATGTATGTATAACGCCAGAGTTTAAGTTTTGGCTCCAACTCCAGGCAGCATAATAAACTTGAGGATGAGGTTGTTTTTCCCTCAGAGCTGATGTCATGATACCACTGTTTGGCCGGACTGTCGGTTTATTCTGAAAGCCGAGCTCATGTCCTGAGGCTCAGCTAAACTATGTGAGTATAAACGATGAAGGCAGGGACTCCTCACAGCTGAGAAACTGAGGGAGAGCATCGATCTTCCGAGAAGATAAAGTTGATATCTATGAAGGCTAAACGGTCATTCTGCTTTGATGTGTCACTTCGAATTTTGGTATAATTCTGACAAAATGGTCTTTAATGGGGTTTGGGTTTTTTTCATTCTTTTTAGTGATCTGAAGGGTTTGGCGTGGGCATTACATTTTTCTCCATTGAAATAATTGCCACTTTTACCTTTTAGAAATACAAGTTTTTGAAGGTTAAACTTCTCGTCACTCAGAACTTTTTGAAGCTACAGTTTTTTTATGACATTAAGGACTGAAAATGTATTTCACCATTTTAACTGCCAGAAGAAATCAGACAGTTTTGCTTATGAACATGCAAGTTATGAAAAGACCCATTGAGCAACAACATGAAAAAAATCAAGCTGTGGTTTAACTTTTTGGCAGTCTGCTCCCCATGTGTCATTTTAGTGGCCGGTGTAATTTATCAGACTAATCCCGTTTGTTCTAATCAGATGACCTGTGGCTCTTTACCTACAGCGAGCCTGAATTCCTCATTAAGATAAATCACAGCACGGAAGCCGCAGACCTCATTATTTTTACAGGAATGAGTGTTATTACATCGACCTCAACGACGATCTCCATTTGAAAAAAGCCTCCAAAAGCTAACAAGTTGTATAATGTTTTTCTTGCAGAATGAGACCTCCTGCTCAATTTTCCTGCAGCAAATGCGTCTCTGAGATGGCTTTTCTTACGACGCAGAACTTAGCTCATCGGTGAGCATTGATCCAAACAGGAATTGTTCACAGTGGCTAAGTTCAGTGTCTGAGATGAAAGAATGAGCTTCTGCATACCTGGGAGTTAAACAGCTGAGGGGAGATGGATTCCAGCAATGAAAAGGCACCTGTATAGTAAAACGAAGTGGAATGTTGTAAAAGTCTTTGCAAGTCCAGACAAACTATACGGACGTCAACATGGTCTAATTTAAGGTATGTTCTTGGGAGAAAAAGAAAAGAAAAGCAGTTATGAATGAATAGCAGCAATCAGTGTGTGAGTTTTATTTCAAAGGCAGACATGAAGCCAGTCATGAGACATATTATCCGTCCATTTTTTTGCTTTGCAGATTTTGAAATACCTCCCATGCTTGTTAAAATGTGTGCTTTCAATCATTCAGTGAGAGAGTGACAGTGAGGAGTTTTGCAGGTTGTGTACTCATGTGCCTACTGAACTGGATTCAGTGTGTCTTTGCAGAACTGGCTCAGTCCAGCAGGAACAAGTGTGACACCTAATGAGACACCGTCAGCATTAACAGAAGGTTTTCCTGTTAGTTAGCCTGTTAAAATTATCAGAAAAGCATGCTAACGACGAACAAAATCATATTTTCATCCAATCGCTGGAAGGAGTGATGGCGTAAGGAAATGGTGTGTGTCTTCCGCTGTTGTTATGTACCCTAATTTGTGTCCCTGTGTGGGTGAGTGTACCTGCCTCTGCAGGTACTCGTTAGCAGCAGCAGCTGATTTGTGCTGAGTAACGCTTTGCGTTGCCTCTCTTCATTCGTCATGCTATAATAAGCTGTCAGCGTGTCCGCAAGCGTCTTCACTAAATTGGAATAAAATGGCTCAACACCTCTGCAGTCATTATATCCTTGAATGGACAGGCACTGCGGCGGCATAAGTAGAACTGATCATCATAAGACCTGCTATTGATTTTGGACAACCTGAGGTGTTGAGGTGCTGTGTGAACTATTGCTTCTCACCTTGGGTCATCTGCCATGGGACTCCTGACAAAATCTGCAGAGATGGGCAGAAATTAATACAGCCTATTTAGGAAGAAGGAATAAAAAGTTATATCGATTTTCCATAAAACTTAAATCTGGGCCACCAATTTAACAGTAAGAGATGATTGCTTTATTTCTCGATTGTTTGACATATGACCTACTAAGGACATGTAATAAAGAAAACAGCAGCTGCTGCACCAGTCATTTCTCAACTCGTCTTCATACCTAAACATGATCTCTTGATAATAAAGCTTAACAGACGTGGAACTGATGTCGACTGCATGAACACATATATTAGATATTTAGATATTAGATTTACATAATGCTGCTGCACCTGCGTACTGTAAAAATCTCACTTTTCAGTAAAATGAAAAAACCTGTGTGGAATATTTAATTCCTTAAACTTTCATATGTTCTTGTCAGTCTTCCTTCACTTCTTACTCATGATAACTCACTCCATGTTACAGTTTAGAAAGTTTCCCCTTGCGTGGGTTCCATCGAGCTTTGCTTCCTGTGTTTTTCTTCCTGAGTATCCCATTATCATTACTCAGATACTACACTCTTAGTTTTCAGTTGTTCATTGACAGATCCTCTTTTGTGTGTTTTTCTTACACGTTCCAGAGTCCTTTTCACAATGTATTCTAACTGTTTCCTTGAAGTTTTTTTCAGTTGTCAAGTAAAAAAAAGCTTCATAGACCATGTGTGGGCCACGCCTTAGTGTTCTCTGTCCGTCAGTTGGCCTATCTCCACCAAAATAAACACACCTAAAAGAAATAGAGGAACAAAGCTTTGATTCAAATTTGTATTGATTTTGCATACATTTTCAGTCCCTCTTCTTCAGACCTAAAACACATTTGAATAGATCAGATTTACAATGTCAGGCAGAATTCAGACTCGGTGACCCACTAAAAATAATAACACATTTCTCTGTTTCCCACAACCTGTGTGTGGCATTCTTAGATTTTTGATACTCATCAGTTTGGTGCATTGTTTAGTTCCATGAAATGGAGCCATTTTATCAGGAAATCTGTAAAGAAACCGGAACCAATGGCTTAGTGAGATGTTGAGTGAGTAAAAGTTTTTCATTCCCTGTTTGACACCCCAAAAAGAAATAGTCTTTATTGATCAAAACCCAGATTTTGATGACTAATATTTCATTTAAAAAAATGTTAATTATCCATTTGTTATAAGCTTTTTTTTTTAACTAAACTTTTTGTTAATCTTCATTAAATTATATGGACAACATTTCAGCTTTTGTTTTACACCATTCTTTATTCTAATTGCACATTGATGATTATGGAACGGAGGATACAGTTTGATTCAGAGGAATCTGGATCTCTAATTGCTCAGTCAAAGATTTCAGCTTCTGTGTCCTGTTGTTTTATTCTCCCCCTCATGGTCTAGATGCATCACAGTGGCAAACGGTCTGCATCTATAATGTAAGTCATGCAGAATGAAATCTGCTGTTTCAACTTGGATGAATGCAGATGACGCACAAATTCTAATTCTGCCTCACGGCAGTATCACACACATATGCAAATCATCCACACTGTGACTATAGATGACACCAAAGGCCATAATGAGGGCCATGTTGTTCTAACCTTTCACTGCTGACAGCCTGGATGTTCTCTCTCGTCTTTGGCTCCTAGAACTAAAACTCTGCATTTTAAAAAAGCCATTTGGAGCGTGGACTCCTCTGAGCATGGAACTCAAGTGTATTGCTTTTTGTTCGTGTTTGAAAATCTCGTGTCCAGATAATTATCTGCATAGTGCTGATGTGTGACTTCCTCTATGTGCTCTGCAGTTGAATTACTCTTTGTAGCTCTGGACTGTCACGAGTGTCAGTGTTTTCCAAGGTACTCAGTCCATTTGACTAAATTCATCAGAGTGTCATGGTTGTTTATCCTGAAATTCCCTCTAAAAGTTTAAGTTCATACACATCCCTGTGCTGTTTTACCTCGGCCCTCCTGCATTTTGAGATTTTTCCTGAATCTTCTCAGAGTATTGTGTACTGAACATGCTGCAAAACCATCTTCACCATATTGCTCTGAGCATATTTATGATTGTCTGACAGACTTTGGCAAAAACCGATGAGCCAAACATAATTTTTGCATGGAGGGACCATGCTTTTGTGTGAGCTATTCTAAAACGTATTTGTGACACCAATTTATCTGCTTATTGTAGAAAGATGTGGAATATGATGTTATATTCCCACCTCACCTTTTAATATGTATCATGTTGCATCGGAATGTGAGTCTGATCAATTTTATAAACAGAATTAAACTGCTGTAATATCACTTTCTTGATCACAATAAAAAAAAAACAGAAATAAATATTCGTCCCCAAAAAGAAGAATGAATAAAGTTTTCAATTTCGTCCATGTTCTTTTTCTTATTATTATTAACAACAACAACAACAATATGATTGATAATAATAATGTTATCATTGTCACAAGCCTCAATTAGGCGTATCAAAAAGTCTTATCAGATATGCCAAGTATCTCGTTTTAGAAGACACACTGCTGACAAACTTTTTACCAAAAGGAAAAGATAACAGATAGAAACGCGTGCTCGTTTACTTTGTATTTTGGATGCGGACAGAAAGTGAAAACGATGGAAGATTGGAACTTTCTCCCCTGATTAGGGCGATTTGATCAGATGGGGTGTAATGTCACAACTCACCACGCGGGGGCGCAAACTCTCCGCGGCTCACCTGCAGAAACAAATTAGGTCAATGAAACTTTCTATTAACTTCGTACTCGTGTTAAGTTTTGTTTTTTGTCTTCTTTTTTTAACAGCAGTTGTAGTTCCTTGTTTAGGAGTTTAATGTCTTAACGAAAGAGGACCTACCCATTTGTTTCATTTTCTACCGAAGGTGTGTGTATGTCTGTGTGTGTGTGAATGGGTGTGCTTGTGGAAAAAATAAAGGAAGTAACGATAACACAACTTTCGGATCAGGACGACGTGGACACGTAAATTTTGGACTTTACAGAGAAACAGTTATTTTAAAAAGAATACCGTCGGAAATAAAACCGCATTCATAATTTTTTTAAGAGTTTCAGGCGCTCTTTAATCCTTTTCTTATTTTTCCTTTTCCTTTTTTTGGAAGCTCGCTCAGGTGAGGGAACTTTTTTTTTTCTTTCCTCAAGTAGCGTGATTGGAATCTGTAACAAACAGAGCCGCCTTTCCTCTGTTCCTGTCGGTGGATTTTCGCCTTTTTAACGATGAAATGAGCCCGTTTTGTTCCGAGGTGAGGCTTAATTTGAGCACCTGTTTCTGTTTATTGTTTGTCAGCTGGATCGAAGTTTTGTGGGATCAACCTGAAAATAGTGGGATCGGTATTGTTTTAAATGGTATTTGCTGTTAAAGTTGAGCTACACATGCGTCCTCACCCTTCTCATTTACTTTTACTCATGGCATTAAGACTTGTATGCTTTTTACTGATCTGACTTTCAGTCTGGTGTGTGCATGTGATTCCGCAGTGGATGCTGGACAGAGAGTTATGCTGAAGCCCGTCTGAGTATCAGGATGACCAGTACAGATGGAGCTGGGACCCCCAAGGCGGACGGCGACACCCGCGTGGTGCAGATCTACCCCAGGCTGACTCAGGACACTGCTGCCTACAGTCCCCTGCAGGTCAGCGCCGGGGACACGGCCAGGATGGTCATCCACACCTCCGTGGTCACTTTGGGCCTGGACCCCGGCCAGAAATACAGCCTGCTGGAGGTCAGGGAGAGCGGCGGGGCGGAGAGGCCGCTGGAGCCCGGGGACTGCCCTTTGGAGCGGGTCCTGCTGTGGCCGGCGGACAAACAGAGGTGGCACCAGCAGAGCCAGGGCTACCACTTCGTCCTGCAGCAGAGCAGCGGCGGGGGCCAGGAGGCGGAAACCACCAGCGAAGACTTCGATGACCTCTGCGACCTGCCCGCCGTCACGGAGGAGAGCGTCCTGGAGGTTTTGCGCCAGCGCTTCTACGAGCGTAAAATCTACACCTACATCGGGAACATCCTGCTCGCCGTCAATCCCAATAAGTTCCTGCCCGTCTACTACAACCCCAAGTATGTCAAGATGTACGAGAACAAGCCGCTGGGCAAGCTGCAGCCTCACATATTCGCCATAGCCGACGTGGCCTTCCGCGCCATGCTGAGCCGACAGGCCAACCAGTGCATCGTCATATCTGGGGAGAGCGGCTCGGGGAAGACCTCGAGCAGCAGCTATCTCATTCACTGCCTGACGGCACTCAGCAAAAAGACGTACTCCAGCGGCCTGGAGCGGACCATCCTCGGGGCTGGGCCAGTATTGGAGGTGGGTCACTGTGTCACGAGCTAACTGAAACCCATCCAGTTCCATCAACACATCTGACATGTGGCACTCCACAAAAGTCCTGGTTCGCCTTCAATAAGTCACTAGAAAAACTGAAAATATTTGCAGTGATCTGAATCATACTTAAACTGTAATAGTAGTACATAAACAGAGTTCAAAGTGAAAATGAGGGGAAGAGCGTTTTCAGACCTTCAGAAAGGCTAAAAAAGAAGTACACAAGACCATTTTAAAAGATTCCAAAAACATGTGGCTGATTGGAAGCAATATGACAAGATAGAAACGGAGGTTTGTGCTAATTTCACTTCAGATTACCAGTGTTGGTAGAGAAGAGCAATAATCCTCATATTTTAGAAGCCGCAAGCAAAGAACTTTTTGGATGTTTGCTTCACATAAGCTTTGTTCCAATTAAGCAGCCCCTGCCAAAGTCAATCAGCTCACCGAGTGAATCTGTTTGGGAGTTCTTTAAACGCGAGAACTTGATGTTTAGTTATATGAATATATTATTGGAGAAAGCAGTTTAATAATTTATTATCTAATATGTGATTGAAATCCCCCAAACTGAACGTTATTCTGTCATTCGAACGTGTGGTTTCACCCAGTCTCACTCTCAGTTCATTAACACCCTCTTAAGATTTTGGTCTGTCCGTTTATGAAGAACTTCCAGATTTCTCTTCCAGTTCTTCAAATGAATTCGGAAGTTCTAGAAACATAAATAATGGCACTCCTTCTTGGTGTTAAAAATAAAAGCAGCTGGAGGTTTTGCAGCGGCGAGTAAGACAAAGTCTCGGCTTTATAAGCTGAAGTCTAAAGTAAATAGAGTTTTCAACACTTGTGCTGATCAACAGGCAAGATTTTTTGTTTGTTTGTTTTGTAGGGGTAGTTAGCTTCACTTTAGAAATGCCCATACTAGTTTCATATCCTTTTTTAACTTTAGATCCCAGTTGTGCTGTGAATACCGCAGCATTGTGATCGATCTGAAAAACAAAGGGTGTTCTCTGTTAAAGTGCAACCAAGGCTTTGATAAGACATTTTGCACTCTGTGATCTGTTAGATATCTGAGGGCAGGCGTGCCCAGGATGAGTGGCATGGTGAACTTTGACCTTCAGATTTACAGGGCATTAAAAACATTCCGCCGTCAACAGCGGCGGGGTATTCCCAACTTGGAAGCATCCTTTTGGTTTTGCGGTTGTGCCTTTTTCCGGTGTGGCTGCCGCATCAGAGGCTGTGCCACATTTGCTGGGTCGGTGATTAGCAGGCACAGTAATCACCAGGATTTCCCTCTGCTTTCTATTTCACCCATTTGTTACGCAACCCCGAACTGCCAGCTCTAAAGAAATCTGGGCCAAGTGATATTTAACGGAAGAACCTGCCTTTCATGATTGACTATTGCTTGAAACCTGACTCTTGCTTGATGAGTTTTTGGGCAAAAGATGAAAAAAAAAAAAGTAAAAAGGGAAGGGGGGGGCTGCTTAAGGTCTGAGAATGCGTCAGCATTTTGGACAAGGGTATTGGTGGGTTTCGCTTCATGTAAGCTGCGTTTTTGGGGAACAAAGTAACTTTCAGTAGCCGTAGTGACAGTTTAATTTGTGTTATTGTTGTGTGTGTGTGTGTGTGTGTGTTGTTCGTCGCTTTGCACCGTTTCATGTGTTCTGTGTGTCGAAATACCAGAGCTTCCCATCAGATCTACACGTTGCTTTAACTGAAGGATGTCGGCCCTCTATATGGTTGATGTCACACACACGCAAACACAATCCCTTAAGGCCAGTTGTTCATGATACAGTCTGTAAGTACGGATTTGGCTAACCTCTAAAGTAGTCCTGCCGGTTTCTTCTCAAATTAATCCACAGCACAAGGGCTTTTCCTGTTGACTGATTGTGGAGGAATTTTTCCAGTGTCGTGGGGGGTTGATTTTCAGTAGAAAATCAAGAGAAAAATTTCAAACACCCTTCTGTAGAAATAAGGATCATTAATCTATCGCTTCTGGTGTTTATGTTTATGCTATTGGGCTTTTTTTGGTCCATCTCTGGATTTCCTTTGTCATCATAAATTGCACCTCACACAGCGCCTCGCGATCTGAAATCACTTTTTCATCTTGTGGCAACTTCAGCTTCACCTTTTTTCTATTCAGGTATCAGCATCTTAAGAGAGCGACGCGGGATTTTTATCTTCCTGCTGCTGGAAAAGGGCTACCATCTGTTTGTAATCTGTGTGTGCCATTGTTGAGATTGAAGTGGGTTTTAGGTTTTTTTAGTAAATCTTGCCGTTAGTGTCCAGCAAGTGAGAACACCTGGCTCTAATGGATTCTGCGAGGTTCGCTCAGGTTTTGCGTTGGTGATCGGGACGCTCCACAGAGGGGAATGTTCAGGGCGTTGTCTGTGAGGGAAGACCAGAGAGAGAGAAGAAACAGAGACGTGTCAGAACAGGATCAGCCAGGTCTGCTGGCAGATCCGTTCAACAAAGAATAAATCACCTTTCTTCTCTCTCGCGACACACTACTTCTTCCACTCTTCCTTTCTGTCTTACCGTGTTTAGTTCAGGGATCATGGATTATGGCTTTTCATGATGCATGGTTTACACTTCTTATAATACATGGCTTACACCCTCTGAGGAGATTTCACTTTATATGAGCCTTTCCAATCTCCAGTTTGGTAAAAAAAAAATGAAAATGCAGGGATTTCCATTCAAATTTCAATTGTGAATGAGCACTGCTGTTTGATTCCATAAAGATTTTACACTTTGTTGGTGTTTTGAATGACCACCGTGTTTAATTAAGTGGCATCTCAGAGTAACATGTTTTGACCAAACTCAAGACAGTAATTATCTTTACCTGAGCTGACCAGTTAATGGGGTTTTCTGTTTGTGTTTGGCCACATCCCTAAAGGGAAACGTCATCCTTTCAGCTGGGGGGCGATCCTCCCTCTGGAGCAGGACATGGCAAACACCTCTCTCTCCTCATGAACCTCATACAGAACAATCTGTCCTTTTCTGTACACATGCTTTTAATTTTTGTCAGGACGCTTTTTGGCCCTTTATTGTAGATTGACTAAAGGTTTGTGATTCAAAATGAAAGAAGTATGTGTTTTAAAAACCCTCCACTGACTTTGAAGAGGCACATGGGGTGGGAACATTCCATTGATCTTTAGTGATCAACATAGTGTATCTACTGACTGCAGACACACTGCTTCGACCTGTTAGGACACAACCGTTTCACTGGAATGAAGTATAACAATGTCCTTAAAGGCTGACGTGGGCTAATCTTAGTTTTTTTTTATTTTAGAAAGGTCTAGTCTTAGAAAGTAGCGGGTGATCTACTGCAGACATCCGCTGTGAGTGCTTAATATCTTGTGTACATGATTTTTCCCTTCAGTTTTATGTCTGTACATTCCCGTCATTCCAAAGGTACCAGCCACCTCCAAGACAAATAAAATAATGTTAAGGTTTGCGTAGCTCTTTCTTTAAGGAAAATTTTAATTTGTCTTAGCCCTGATTCATAACGCAGGTTAACGCAGATAAATGAGTCCAAACCCATTGTTGTCTTCATACACCTTGTTTATTGAAACCATATTGTTCCGTCCACCCACCAAGATTGATTTTATTTTTTTTATTGTAAAAAAATCAGTAAAATGTTTGTTATGCTTAAACTGTTTGGTGCCAACATGTGTAGGAAACACGCCTGCGCGTGTTTATTTAAACCAAGGCTTGTGCTGCTTCTGTGTTAAACAGGCTTTTGGCAACGCCAAGACGGGTGACAATAACAACTCCAGCCGCTTTGGGAAGTTCATCCAGCTCAACTACCTGGAAAGTGGTGTCTTCAGAGGGTGAGACCTCATATTTTCTTCCAGGAAGCTACCTCTTTCATTCATGTGAATAACACAGTAACAGTTGTTCTTTTTAAGTCTCGGGTTTTCCCGGATATCTCTCGGGTTTGGTTGACGTTCTCGCGTTGCTTCTCTGTTGTAGGGCTGTTATTGAGAAGTTTCTCCTGGAAAAGTCCCGCGTGGTATCAAGGCACAAGACAGAAAGGTACAAGTAATCATTTCTAATCATCACAGAGAGTGTCTTATTAATTTACTTACTCAAAGTTAAACCCGACAGTCACCTCTTGTAAACCAATAAAACCAAACTACTCTCATAGCTCATTTAATGCGAGTAATTTAAACTTAACCGCACTGTACTTGATGTTAATGCTATGACCTCTGGCCTGCAGGAACTACCACGTGTTTTACTATCTGCTGACAGGGGCCTCTAAAGACGAGCAGGAAGAGTTTCACCTATTAAGGCCACAGGAGTATCTCTACCTCAAGCAGGTACTTTTGATCGGTGAAAATGAATGTGGGGAAAACCGGTGATAGATGTTTAATCAGATCATTGTCTGAACATGATAAGGTCGCCATTATACTGGAAATGTAATCATATGTATCGTGACTTCAAGATTTCTGTCACTGCAAACAGATTAGATGCCTAAATTTTTTTTTAAATCCTCCTTTTAGACTTCCACAATGACAAAATAGAAGCAGGAAAGAACGAATTTGGACATCCTGCATGATTCATGCTTACTGATAGTCTTTCAGTTCTTGTTAAGTGTTCTTCCTTTTCATGCCTGCGAAATTCTGGAGCCTTTAGCTTGTTTCGGTTTACAGTAAACCTATTTATTTTTTTATTTATTAAGGATCACAAGCCAGTTAAGAGACAGCCTTCATTTATCTTAAGCTTTTAGGTGCTGACGCTATCTTATGGCCAGAAACTTCTACCTTTCAAACATGTTGAATATTCTAATGAGGAAATAAGGATTTCTTTTGTCTCCCTATTATCATTTTATGGATTCCCAACCAAGGCTGAAACAAAAACTGTTAGACACCATAATCAATATCAGCGTTAAAACTCCACTGTTGTTAATTTGTTCCTTTTTGTCTTTTTATATCTCATCTCCACTCCACAGGAAGACCTCCATTTAGATGATGAAGAGAAACTTGGGCAGGAGTACAAGAGACTCCATCAAGCTATGGAGATGGTTGGCTTTTTGGCCTCCACTAAGAAACAGTATGTGTGGTTCTGATAATTCAAAACATTATTAGGCCTAAAAGCCACAGGTTTGATTATAAATTATTAACAGATCCAGACAGTGAAACACTGTATTTCCTCCCAAAACCTTTTCTTTTTTTGTCCTCTTTTCTTCTTGGAATAATCTAGCATTTGATATAAACACATGCCTGAAAATTGAGGCAGTTTGATGATGAATGTTTTCAGGGGAGTCCCATTTGTTTGCACTGGCTTGGCCAGGACTCCACATCTGGCTTTTTTTGCAGGGTTTCTCACTGTTCCAGAGGGGTATACACTTATTTACCAGTTCTGCCGGAATGGTGGGCGAGTGGTGTGCAACTTTAACTGGGCGCTACCGAGTCGTTTCTGCTATCTTTACTCCTGTTGGTGACAGGTCAGAGCTTGTCAAGTCAAGCAGGAGAAAAAATGCAGCAACTATTTCAACAAGCGCCTGCCAGCCTCGGCAGACAGTGTGCACATGAAAGCCCCAGAAGTAAAGTTTAGACACCTGCTTAGATCTGTTCCACAGGTTGAGAAAAACACACAACATTGTAGGTTTAGAAAGATGGAATTGGGGATCATTGTTTTTCTGTCTACCAGTGGTTTAATCCTCTCCTGTCAAATCCTGACAAATGTAAACGCATCATTTCACTGATTTTTACAGTGGTACATTTATGATATCTTTTAAGAAGATTGCTGAGGTAGTTAAGTAGATATTTAGTTTTCCTGTATTGGTGATTTGTTTTGTCTTCCCACTTTGCAGCATATTTTCCATCCTGTCCGCCATCCTGCACTTGGGAAATGTGACGTACACGTTGTCCGAGGACACTCAGGTCTTGCAGGCCGGACCAGCTGAAGTCTTGTCAACACTGTCAGACCTGTTGAAGGTTTGCTCATGAAAAGTTCATTGTGTCATTATATTGGACTTAATTGAGTTGTTTTGGGGAAGCTACTTTCTGAAGCTACTTTCTCACTGTGGGGAGAACTTGCATAATGTTTTTTTGTTTTGTTTTCCCCTTTCCTTTGTAGGTGAAAATGGAACCACTCGTGAAGGCTTTGACCCAGAGGAAAGTTGTCTCTGCTAACTCAACCGTAGTTTCACAGTACACACTACAAGAGGTACCAAGTTTGAATGTAGTGAATGGGTTTCTCTCTTAAATGAAATCATGTTATACATTTTCTGCACTATTTCTGCATCCTCTGTTGGAATTAGAGTTTTTTTTATGATCCTGCATATAGTTAAAAATGTATAAGTAAGCACAGACTGTTAACCACTTATTCCCATGCGTTTAGGCCACCACAGCACGGGACTCCATGGCCATGGCTTTGTATGGTGCTCTTTTTGACTGGATCATCTTTCACATCAATCACGCCTTGTTCAACAGACGAGATATGGAGGAGTCCATCTCAGTGGGTAGTTTTACTTACATCAGCAATGATCTGCCTCACTGACTGCAAAATCCCAACATATGAAACCGTGTTTTTACTCATAATTTAGTCAAATATGTGGAGGTTTTGATTTAAAACTCAAGTTTATCTTTATTAACTGTCTACAGTTTTGCTTTGAAATAATGATTTTTGTGTCTTTTTGTTTCGTAGTGTTTGTCTGTTGGTGTCCTGGACATGTTTGGGTTTGAGAACCTCCAGAAAAACAGTTTTGAGCAGCTATGCATCAACTACACCAGTGAAACTTTGCAGTATTTCATGAAGCAGAAAATCTTCAAGCAAGAGCAAGTGGGTCTATTGAGATTTGTACAGCATGTTGTGTGTTTGCAGTTTAAATTCAACTAAGATTTACTAAGATTACCTTCATCCAGGTAATGCAGACAAATCCACACTGATTTAGTGAGAAGTGTGTGATGATGTCATTGTGGTTTGAAATGATTTCCAGGAAGACTACGTGTCAGAAGGCATCACCTGGCAAAACATCAACTTCCCAGACAACAGTGGCTGCATCCAGCTTATGAGCAATAACTCAGTCGGAATCTTTCATTTGCTAAACGAAAATAGCAAGTAGGTGCACTGCATAATCTCTCAAACTAGACATTTTAACCTCACATTTACATACTAATAATTTTCCTCAAAGATACTTGACAAAAAAAAAAGTAAGTGAGCAAGGAAACTGAAGTCACCACCATTCGAGCGCAGGTCCAGACAAGACTATCTCAAGTTCATGATCCAGAAATAACCACACTGTTTTCCATTATCACATTCTGACTAAGTTCAGAATATTGTTATTGTTAAAACATCATCAGAAACTCCTTAGTTTGCCATCTTTCCCAGCCGTCATATGTTGAGTGTGAGTGTGATCATCTGTCCTTCTCTCTGTGTCTTCAGCCTTCCAGAGGCCACAGATAAAACCCTGTTGGACAAGTTAAATGAACGGCATCAGAACAACACATTCTTTACAGCCTCTTCAAGTACAGAGACAGTTTTTGTGATCCAACACTTTGCTGGTGGAGTTGAATATCACCTAAAGGTAAAATTCCTACCGCGCAAACATCTCTAGTCTGAAGCCCCATTTAATTTTAGGTAAATATTACGTCATCGATTTTAGCCTTGTTAGATAAGCCACTGTGGGAAAAACTTCAAAATCTCCAACCAAGTCAATGGTTAATCCCCAATGCTGTGTAGCCTTCAAAAGTGCAGCATTTCTAGTAATAACGTGTTGTAGTCGTCGATAAAGTGCTTTTAAGAAATTGTAACTAATGGAAACTCAGGAATTTTACCTATCATGTCATTGTGCAACCTGAACTTATTTGCCTTAATTAACATGTGTTTTGGTTTTCTTTAGGATTTCAGACAGAAAAACACAGAGCACATGCGGCCTCAAGTTGTGTCACTCCTGCGTAGCAGCGAGCGGTCCTTCCTGCATCACTTGGTTTCATCGAGCCCTGAAGCGCTGTTCAGATGGGGCGTCCTACGAGCAACAATCCGCATCCTCACAGTGTTTAAGAGCATGGCACGCCAGCGGGCAGAACTGAGTGTGTAGCTTCAACTTATGGAACACAAAAAGATTTGAGAAATTGTCTGCTTTTGGAACTTTTTTTTTTTTTTTGACTGACCGAGTCAGCATCATATTTGGGTTATTGTTATTATGATTATTGTGATTTTTATTAATAGAACTTGTGCTTTCACAACAGTTGCTGCAAAGCGAAACTCCCGCAAGTCTCTCAAAGAGTTGAAACGTCAGAGTAGCACGCTTAGCCAACTATCCAGGTAACTTTTAATCTAAGCTTTACTATAATAACTATAATAGTTTTGGGTTGTTTAGCAGAATTCATGTTAGATCAATGATCCTTATGGGAAATTATGTGGCAGCTACAGGGCAAAACAACTTATGTCCATTGACATTGGTATAGTTATCCATGTTAAAAAAGACATAATGTGCCCTTTGATGCTTTGATGGTACTAATGAAAGCAAATTCTTTGACTCGTAACAGCACAATCCAGACTCTGGATTTCTCCTTTGATCACTCTGATGAACTTCCTATTGATGTGTTCGGGGACATCTTTGCCAGTTACGAACAGAGAAAGTATGGGCTACATGGCTTTTATGCCACATTGGATTTTTGTTATGAAGGTTTATTGTTTGCAGACCTCATGATCTGAGGCACCTTGTTTTGTTTTTGTATTGTCTGCAGGAAAAATAGAGGCAGTCGACACAAGCAGCTTATTCCAAAGGTAAAGCTTTGTGCCTTTCAGTTATCCACTAGACCGAAACACTGTGGAGTTTCAAGTCATTGTAAATGTAAATCTCCTCCAAAAAACATTTGTTATATTTGAGGTTCCGAACATTAACTTACTTGGATAAATAAAATGTTACAATATTGTAGTTAAATTAAAAGGGACTTAAGTGCTTGAAGGAAAGATAATGTTCTTCCATAAAGAACCAACTCAGACACAAAGAAACAAATATATGTTTGATTATTTGTCTTGATTTTAAAATATTTAATTGTATTTAGATATCAGTTTTTACTATCCACCATAAAAAGCTCATAGCTTCTTTTTTGGTGTCATCAACAGAACCTCATCAATTTGCGCTCACTCCAACACATCGTCTGTATTACGTCGCACGACCGAACCTCCAAATCCATCTTCCATCCTTACCGGAGAACAAGGCTCCCCACCGTTAGCACTCAGTTTCAGGTTTGTATTCTGTCCGACATCAATTTGGAGACTCGTAGTTTTGAACCGTCAGTTTCATCCACAGCTTGTTAAATGTCCTTTTTCCTCCCTTGCTTTGGGACTTCACCTAATGAAATTTTAAAGATGAATATCAGAATGGGCTTTAAAATATTTCCTCCAAACATTTAAAGTACAAGTTTTCAGTGTAACATAAAGTCTGAAATCAGGTTGACTCATTGCATCTGTTTTGTTTTTTCAAAGGCATCACTTAGAAAGCTAATGGAAACCATCGGAAAAGCAGAGCCTTCCTTCATTTTCTGCATTCGCTCCAATGCCAAAAAGGTAGATGCAAGTAGCATGCTGGAATATCAGTTTAGTCGTGCATATTGTGCCAGGAAAAAAAAACTTTGGAAATCTTGTCTCATTGTTACAGGAAGAGCTGCATTTTGATGATACACTTGTGCTGAGGCAAATCAGATACACAAGCATTCTGGAAATGATTCACATTCAGAAGTCTGGCTACAGAGCCAAATACACATTTGCGGTAGGTGGTCTTATTCCTTTAAATTCTAAAGGGAAATACACACAGGAGAAGTTTTTCTTCTTTTTTTTTTTAAAATTCTTTTTGTATCATAAATATCAGTTCTTTCTAGCAAGTCGGTGACTTCACAGTAAGAGTGTGATATTTTGAATAAGTATTGGCATAACATCTTACATTAGTTTTATTTACCTAAACTAGGTTTTTGGAGATACTTCATAGATTTATGTCCTTTAATCTTTGTTAATTCAGACTATAGCTCTTAGGATATTAAAGGGTTATAGGATTATATTTGAAGACCTTGTATCCATTGATCAATGAAAATAAATATTATATTGAAATACATGAATGCATTAAAATATATACATTTACAAAATTTCCAATTAATGTATATGTATTATGTAAATGTTTTTATTTTTGTTGATTTAGCATCTAATCTATAGACCAGGGTTTGTTACTGCAGAGAGGAATGCTGTTACTGAGAAAGGGAAGAAAGTACTGAGTTCTAACTGAGTTTTGAGCCTGTCACCCTTACTCTTAGTCATGTCTTCTCTTCACGGCAGGAATTTTTGAAGAACTTCAAGATTCTGCTGCCAAAAGGAGCCACGGCATCCCCAGAGCAAATTACCCAACTATTTGAGAGGATGGAATTGGATAAGACCACCTACCAAATAGGAAAAACTAAGGTCAATCATCTTACTTGTATTTCATTTATCAGTGCTCATTCTCAGGCTTTATACCCATGTTTTGGTAGTCCATCTGCCAAAAGGTGAGGGTGGATGACGAAGAATATGTTTAATTAAAAATAGTACTGATATTTGACCAATCATTACTGCCTTTGTACACATTACAGAGGCATATATATTTAGATTTGTCTTTGATTTGAAAAATGAACTAAAAGCGATCCGTTTTTTATGCCATTCTTTCATCTACTCAGGTTTTTCTTAAAGAAAAGGAACGACAGGTGCTTCAGAACACTCTAAACAAAGAAGTTGTACAGCGCATCATCACCCTGCAGCGCTGGTTTCGCTCTTGTCTGATAAGAATGCATTTTCTTCAAAAGAGGGATGCAACAAAGATCATCCAGGTGCAGTTACTCTCCCTAATGTAACTGCTCGCAGTAAATCTAATAACTAATGTGGTTATTATAAAACAATTTCCCCTAATTTCTATACCTTATTTTGAATTAAAAAGATAATTCACTTAAGCATAAAGTAATGTGTTGAACACACTGTTAAACGTACTGTGATTTTAGTTTCTTTCTTCTTTTAAAAAAAAAAAACAATGGTTTCAAAAGGCAAGGAACACAACAGCAGCATGAAGCTAAAAGAGGATTTCTCATGTTTCAGAGGAGCTGGCGTGGGTTTTACGAGAAGCAGAACCGAGCCGCTACAGTGATCCAGGCAGCATGGCGCAGTTCTCTGATAAGTCAACTGGAACACGGGGAGGCAGGCCAAGAAGGGCTCACGGGTCAACCTGAAAATCCCAGGTATAAATGTTGCTAAGAGCTAGCTTGAGGTGAAGCAGCACCAGCACTTCTTCATTAGTTCTAAACACTCAGTTTAACAGGAAGACCGCCTCATGAGGGCAGAACAGCTGGCATGGATTTTTAAAGATTCAAGAATAAACCACGCAAACATTTAACATTTACATTAATTATTACTGTTCAGTAGATGCCTATTCTATTATTGCATTTAATTGTTTACTTGTATTTGGAATAGGAATTTTAAAACCTTCCATAGTATTTATGTGTCTTTGTAGCATCAGTGTCAAACATAGCAAATTTCCCATGATTTGTGTTCCATGCTCAGTGACACATTTTTGATTGGCTGTCCCTGTCTTGCAGGACATCTAAACCATTATGCAAACAGTGGTAAAATTAGACTGTTTTTTTTTGTGACATACACAAAGCTCGTTTGGTTAGTACACCTCACCTCTGTCTCACATTAGATTTTTCCAAGATATGAACAGGGAAGACATACTTCTGCTCTCTGGTGGCCAGTTAAAGTACACGCAGTATTTTTAGCATTTCCATTGTTTTTGCCAGCTGCTGGTTATTATTCAGGCCAGTAAATTGGGTTAGACTGGTAGATTTAGTTACTGTGTGTTTATATAAATATATATGTATATGTGTGTGTGAAAATCCTTATAATATCACTCTAATTTAGTTTTTTTTTATGCATCAGCCAGCAAAAAAAACAGTTCAAGAGGCAGCAAAATCTGGAGCACAGCTCCGGAACTAAGACAACCCAAGAGCCTGACCCAAGTAGCCGCCAGAGGGATGGCAGCGGTGACAAACGACAGGACAGAGGATCCCCGCCACCCCTCAACAGACCACTGTCTCTTCCATTTGACCATCACGTTGCCAACGATCGTTCGACCAGCCCTTCTACCAACACCTCGATCCAGCGCTACAGAGATATTGGGGGCATGGAGAAGAAGCTGAACCAGTGGAAAGGAAGACATAGTGAAGGTGATCCGACAGATGAATCAAGTCCTGAAAGGCTGCATCAAAAACTAAATAAGGGCGAAAATTTTCGGTAAGTTCTTTGGTACCTTTTCCAGGATCTGCATCCATATTGTGCCTTGTGGCAGCTGAGCTAATATGCAGATATGAGAAGCAACTTTAGCGTTTCTGCCTATAAATTCACTCAATCATAGTCCTCAGCTCTTCGTTTCCTCTATAAATAGTTACAAAGGAAAGTCCATGTCTGCTGATGAACTGTCCAAGATCAGCTCCTCGGGTTCTGACAGCCCACCCTACCCCACTAAGGTGAATTGAGTTCTTCTTTTAACACAAAACATTTCCCCTGGTATGTTAACTCCTCCTCTATGTTTGCCTTTCTCTGAGTTGTTTTCAGTGCTCTAACAACAGGAATGATGATTCATCAATGGGATATAGTTTTGTTTGGTACTGTGAGCTTTTTTTTCTCTGACGAACCCATGAGAGGAGGCTTCTCACTTAACGGTTAAGGTAGCCTCTCAGTCTGTGCCTTATCACTTTTGCTGGCCCTGTTAGGTCAGGGTGCGACTGCGCAAGACGAACAGACGCAAGCGTCGCTTAGCCTATGCTCGCAGCGGTCTGATGATTAACTTTGGGGGCTCCAAGGAGAGCGAGTACTGGAGCTTTCCTCTGCCTCCCATCAGCCCTGCTGTACCCATCCTAAAGAGCTCAGCCAGTAGCATGGATTTCCGAACCTGCCAACCCCAGGTCAAGGTACTGACCAAAGGGACATGTCGAACCAAGCACAACTCCTCTCTGCTTGCAGGCCTTGCATATGTGCTCGTGGACTGGGGCCTCTAATTTCTGCTTTGCAGCCGAGAACAATAAAAAAATGAGCTGTTGCTTTCAGTATTCATGGAAATATTGAAAAATGATTTCCAAAGCTCATTTGTTTCCACCCACTGGAGTAGTGGGTTAGCAGGCACAATTTAGACTTGCGCGATATGAAGAGTGGTAAATATTGTATGAAGTTTTACCTTTTTACCGGAGTAAGATGGGTACATTTTTTTAATATATATTCCAATGATACTATATTAACAAGTTCTAATTACTTGAAACTTGAAACACTTGAAAGTGTTTCATTTAACAGTGCCAAAATCTTTTGATTTATTAAGGGATTAACACTTGAATAATATTCTTTATAAATTATATGCGTCTTAACCTATTTGGATAAAACACCTGTCAATAATTACTCCCAATCATGGCAAATTTACAAAATATTTCAGATAATGTTAACATTACTTCAACACTTTCTTGTCGTTAGTACATGTTTGTAAATTGGGGGAATTTGTACACAATCTTATTAACCTATTTCTTGACAAATAACACTTTTTCATACTAATGTTTATATGAAATGGAGCAAAATGGTGGCAGGAGACAGAGTAACTCTGCATGAGAAGTAGAGATGGTGAAGGATTTTCACTTTTATTTCATGACATTTCTGCGGGTTGGGTTTGGTGGTGAAGGAACTCCTGTGATCCTTTGAACGACTTTGCTGCAATTGCTGTAAGGAACACAGAGAGGGGCTATCTATCGCTAGGAAAATTGAAGTTGCATGTGTTTTGTTTGATATTTTAGCTTGTTGCATGCTCAGGTTATCACTCTGTTACAGATGCCGGCAGAACCTGATGGCACTAGGTTCAGCCTCCCCCCCAGAACCAGCAATGACAACGCAGGACAACAGGGCTCCAACCAGACACAGCCCACAACTCCTGAGAGGTAAGGCCGTTCAATTAGTTCATTAATTAATGGTTTATTCGGGAATTCAGAGACTAAGCTTTCTAAATTTTCAGCAGGATAAGTGATGATGATGATTTTTTTTCTGATCCTTTTTCATGAATTATGTCTGGATTGTGCCCTCTACAGGATCTCCTTTTTTAGTAAATTACTCAAGAAACGGACCCAAAAATATTCACAAGGCAGCGAATCTCCATCAGATACATATGGTAACTAAAAATAGACTAAAAACATGTTAAACTTCGTAAACTGCAACCTTTGTGCATTTGATTGAATATAGCTGAAATCTAAAAGTTTCACCATCACATGGTTTGTGTGAAGACTTCCTATTTATCGTTCCTCGTTCCAGTATTTAATTTCTAAGGTTTAAAAAATATTAAGACTTTTCTGTACTTAAAAGGGACACCACTGAATCACTTCCTTACTTTATGTATTTGTTTTCTCTTTCTGCAGCGACATTGCCCAGCTACAGCCCACATCCTTACCACAATCCTAATCAAAACAGTGCAAGAGCCACTCGTAACCCCACCATTCGTATCAGCAGAGCCACACGGGCACTCCAGGCAGATGCGTCTCTGGACCGAGAGATCACCGACCCCAAGGAACTACGAAACCTGGACGAGTTTCTTGGGAATCAGGTGAGATCCCCATCTGAGAGTACAGAATAGTTTCCAGATAAATTGTAAGTGTAGCCATAGCTTCTGGTACAACTGCACAAGGGATAGGCTGAAAGTAGTTATTTTTAACAGTTGTACAGGAATTAAAAATAATTCCTGAGTAGTGCTACATGCAGTTTAAGGCAAAAAATGCCCAGTGTTCTAATTGTAATTTCCCAACCCTTTATCATCAGGTCAATGATCTTAACACAAGAATAAAAGAGCTGTCGGCAACAGAAAGTGTTTTCCTGAAAGCCACCATGGAGTTCAGAGAGACCATCAAAAGCATGTATTCTGTCCAGGTGAGTCACTTAAGAACACATGACAACAATAAGTCTAATTACCATAGAGCCAGATCAGGTTCAAAAAACAATTTTCAAAATTATTTTTTTAAAGTGCTCATTTAGATTGTGTTTTTTCAAGAAGGTTGAAAATGCATTTAACTGGTTGTTCTAAGTGAAACTGCACAGCCAGGCTTCTCAAAATCAGTTATATCTCATAGAGGAAGAACTGAAGTAAATATTTGCTTATCATGTGTTCCTTCTAAGTACCTTCACTGAGCAGTTAACTTTTGCAACAAAAACAATGAAACATTTCTCAATAAGTAAAGCTGCTTCTGTTGAAGATAAATTGATGGGTAGTCATTGCTCATTGTTACTTTGACCAACAGAAGCCCCAAATTGGCTACAAGGATCTGATGAAGGGCTACCGTAACAAAGTAAACACATTAGCTGGATCGAAAGAAAAGGCAGAGGTCTCACTGGTGGTAAACCTTTTCCAATCTGTGCTGGATGGCTTCATCAGGGGGGAAATAAAACGAGCAGACACTGAACCAAACAAGGTAGTTTTGATGCTTTTTCGCAATTCAATCTGCTTTGTAAATTAGAGTTATTTAGCTCATTTAATGCTTCTTTGCTTTTCTTAGGCCACTAAGAAGAGAAGGAAAAAGGAAAAATGTGTGAGTTGATTGTCTTTCTTAAAGTTGCCTCAAGTGTATTATTTCAGTATGTAATCATTCGTCTGTGTCTGTAGCTTGACAGTCCTTTAGATCACTTGTTCAGCACCTACCAAGTGAACATTATGCAATCATGTGATTTGTGTGGCTCTTACATCTGGGGAATGGAGAAGGCCTACATGTGCAGTGGTGAGTACAAACAGCTCTGCAGCCACAAAATTGAACAACATTGTAAAGCTCACAAATGCAAGTATCCAATGAGACTAAATTTTGAACATTTCTTCCAAGCTTGTAAGTTAATATGTCACAAGAAATGCCTGAACAGAATCATCACAGATTGCTCAACACGATGTGCCAGACAGGTAGGAACGGATGTATTTGATTAAGAAATCCTACCATCATTTAATCATTGTCAAAATGTCCACTTCGTATTTTGTCGTAGCGCACTCTGTCCTCATCTCTCACATGTCTTGTTTTCCCTCATCCTAGGATAACAGTGTGCCAGGCTCCCTCCATTTTGGGGTGCAAGTGTGTGTCCTGACCAGCAAAGCTAACCCCGTCCCCAAAGTGGTGGAGTTGTTGCTGATGCACGTGGAGCTTAATGGCCTCTACACGGAAGGTATTTACCGCAAGTCTGGTTCAGCTTGTCGGGCAAGGGAACTCCACCAGATTCTGGAGACGGGTAAGAAATGTTTTGATCACACTTAAAATGTGCACAATCTTGTTTAGATAGCAGTACTTCAGGTTAGTTTTGGCCATCTTGACAATTATTGGTGTTTAGAAACAAAGTCAATCCTCTGAGATCATGAGGAACCTATTCTTTTTTTTGTTTTTGTTTTTTTGTTCTGAAGGACAAATGAAAGAAACTAACCTGACACATGCACCCAATGCTTACTTGATGATGAAATGATTGAATCACACTCTTCATCATTCTGCTGCGCTGAATGGCCAAAAAGCATTTTTAACTTCAGTGAAGAAATTAACAATAAGAGGAAATAGTTTATAATCCATCTCATGACACTTGTCCCCTCAGATCCTGAGACGGTGTGTTTGGATAACTACCCCATCCACACCATCACAGGCCTTGTTAAGCGCTGGCTCAGAGAGCTGCCAGACCCCCTTATGACCTTTTCTCTCTACAACGACTTCCTTCATGCTGTGGGTAAGAAACTATTTATAGCAGTCTGATTTTTAAGCATGTAGGGTTGTTTGATTTAGATGTAGGACAGTGGTCCGGTCGAGTAGAACACACTGAATGCTTAGAAAATACAACATCTATCTTCTGTTCTGGTTAGTGATATGAAACCGGAAAGATATGGATACATTTTGGAATTAATCTAATTAATGAATTACCTTCAGAGCTGCCAGAGACGGATGATAGAATAAGGGCTGTATACCAAAAGGTCGATGAACTTCCCCCTGCTAATTACAATACTTTGGAGCGGCTTATCTTTCACCTGGTCAGGTTGGTATATTTTTTTCTTTCTTATATAAGAAGTGGTCCTTAGAGATTTTAACCCATGTGTCTTTTAGGGTTGCCAGGGAAGAGCAGCACAATAAGATGTCACCAAGCTCTCTTGCTATTGTGTTTGCCCCCTGCATTCTGCGTTCACCTGATGCTAATGACCCCTTCCTTGGTATGAGAGATGTCCCCAAGACAACACTGTGAGTCACCATACTGGACTTTGTTGGAAGCTACGCAGTTTTCCAGAGATTTTAATTGGCGCCTGGTGTGCACTGGCAAAACAACGTATTGAAATCCTGCGGGCATTTGTTTGGTCAGTAAATGTTTCTTAGGATACATCATTGACTATTTCTTTCAGCTGTGTGGAGATCCTGATTTGTGAGCAGTTCAGGCGCTTCAATGAGAAGATGCAGAATATCCAGAAGCTGGAGCACGCAGAGGCCCTGGCTATAAACCAGCTGAGACTGCGGAGACAAAACACGGTGAGATAAAAATGGAAGGACAACAGGAGGTCTAAATAACATCTGGGCAGTCTTTTTAAGGTTTTCAGAGTTATAATGCATGCCTAAAGTAACAAGTAACTCACTGTCAAAATGTGTCCTAATCTTTCTGCTAATACTTACTGTTACATTTTACATTTATGAAGGGAATATATATACATGTAACGCCACTTAATATTCATTACTCTTTGTTGAATTCGCGCCTTGTGTAACATCAAAGGCATTGGCACATGTGTTGGCATCCTGGCAACAATAATTTGTCTCTGTGTAGGTCCTCGAAAAGCCTTCAGAGCTCAATGTTCCACAGCCTGTACAATCTGATGAGTCGGAGATGATCCTTATTGAAAGGATAAAATCCATCAAGCAAGAAAAGTAAGCTCAACGTTAATAGATGTTTAATATATATACTATATGAATATTAATAATCACCATATTAATGTTTCCTTTTTCATTTTCAGGATGGATTTGGCCATCAGGTTATCCGAACTCGAACAAGAGCAATCTGACTGTGAAGTCTTGGACTCTTCATCTTCAATGAGCTCAGAAAGTCTAGATAGAATGGAGAGCCTTGAATCGGAAGGTCAGTAGATAGGTAAGGTACTTAAACCTTCCTCTGTATGAAAGACGATAAGTTAAATTTTGTGTTTTAAACATCCCAAATGTATGGCTGTGGAAAATGACACAATGCCAGTGCACACAAAGCCATTACCATTAGGAATTCAGTATAACTTTAACAATATGTGCAAGACAATATATCATACTGTCACACCTAGTGTTGCTTCTCACAACAGTACATTTTTTGCCTATCGCTTACGCTTGTAGTCTCAACAGTTTGAGTAATACAATCAAGGATAAGGGCCTGCGCTACAGACTATCAAGATGTTATGGCTTGATGAGTAGATGAAAAGTAAGCGCTCCAGAAACAGAAATACTAACTTATATTCCATTGCCTCATCTGGGAGTAAATGTCAGTTCCTGCTTTCCATGGCCAAACTTTTAGTTACTGGTCAAAGTGTGCAGCCACTGAGCACTGCATAGTAAATGCCATAGCCACTTCTTCCTGTTTGGTTTATATCAAACCAAAACAGAAAGTTATTTACTACAATGTTTGCACCAAATGTGTTTACTAAACTGTTGAGTTGATGTCATCAGGAAGGACGAGCATGCAGATGAAAACCCAGAAAACTGACCACCGAAATGACCTGGCACAGAGAGTCAGAAGTTTGATGACTCAGACAGATAATGAACGGATAGAACTCACTACAGGACAAAACACAGATGTCATCCAGTCCATGAACTTACTGCCTGGCCAAGACGCTCCATGCCCAACCAAATGCCCACAAGTGACCACAAAGACCTTGAATGGGAGCTTCGACAACCTGGATATCCCTTATATTGATGAGGATGATCAAAGCTGAAACTGATATCACAAGGAGTGACAAATCTTAATATCTCCAGTATGTGTTTATTCTACACAAAAGAAACTGCACTTTGCTTTATAGACTTTATATTTGTCATTGCTGCTACAGATACCTTATACTTTGAGATTTTATATGTAGTTTTTCAGACATTATCCTTACTCTTCCGGCAGGGTTTTCATATTATAAAAGAAAGGTTTTGTCACTATCATTACTTCCGTTCTCTGCGCTTTTAAACATGTCCGATTTGAACTGTACACATTTTATAAAGCAGTTGTGTAACCAGCAATGAAAAGAAACAAAGAGAACAAGATTGGTGGCAAATGACTATGCAAGTGCTCTGTTTTACATAGACAAGATTCACAGATCAACCCTCTTCCTAACAACAGTTTGTTGTCTGTGGCAAAAAAAGGGAAATAGATTGTAACAGTACCAGATGTTCCCAGATTTTTTCATAGTAATTCTGCGTACAATATTGTGAGACAGTATGTTGGCAATTTGGAGGATTGCTGAAAATGGTTATTCTTTCCATTATTTTGTATATTACACATTACTGTCAACGATCTTACACTGAGTCTCTATAAATAAGCTTGGATATCTGTGAACTTTCCACTTTCTATCTAAAAGTGATGTTTTTATCATGAAATGGCTTCGTCTTTACCAAGTTGATAACATATTTTCTTTGTTTCTTGTTCTTTGTGCATGACTGTACATTTTAAAAAGGGTAGGGATGTACATGTTGTGGTTGACATTCACATGGTTTGTTACATCCTCTTACTAAAAATAATAATAAATGAACAATTTTGAAGTGTTTTTTATTCTTATACAGTGACTTTTCTTAACTTAAGTTATAACCAGGATTTCAAATAAACAGACTTTGGTCTCCATATTTCTCATGTAAATATTTTTATGTGTATACTTTCCCCCTGTTTATATGAAAAGAGGTATTTCAAAAACTGAGCAGAACAGGAAAAGGTATGGAGTTCATTCAAATTGAATAAACTGCGTTGTTATATCATTTCTGTTACGTCAAAAGAACAGAGATTACCCTAAAGATGCTAGATTTTTTGAATATCAATTAATTACATGCAAGTCTATCCTTTCAGTGATGATTTTTTCAATAGTTCCACAAAAGTAGCTGAACATTTTGTACGCTTCCCAGTAAACGCAACCAATTTCTATATAAGGGATTTCCTCTTTGTTGCCCGCGGCTCGAGGTTCACAAATCACCACGTGAGGACCATGTCATCGACGTTATCTAAGCCAATCAGACACAGAGTTTGCAATGCTTTCATACTAACTACCCAATCATAGAGTCGTATTTCATTGTAAAGGCGGGTTAATTTTCAGTTCAGGAAGACAGACTGAAGTGAGGTGGGGATGAGAAATCATCATTTGGTTAGCCTGCAGCTACTTCCCATAGCCGAATGCTGAAGTGTAATGAGCTTAGTACCCTAAATAAGTAGATTCTTTTTATTTTGGTAGGTGCAACGATGACCCATTGACATCAAGAATGGACATAAGTTAACAATGACGGGGGAGAAAAAGAAGAAGAAGCGGCTGAACCGCAGCATTCTTCTTGCAAAGAAAATTATAATAAAAGATGGAGGAAGTGTGAGTTAAATATTTATTTATCTTCGTTAACTTAGCTTACCATTTAGCCAAAATAACTATCGACCACCGTTGTTCTGTGGCAACCTTTTGTTTTTATTGTAGACGGCTAAAAGCGGAGTTTGTTTATGCCTGTCAGTTCAATGGTTTTCCACTGTACATAACGTTGACCGTTAACGCCGTTTGGAATTGAAGGGACCGCCTAGCTAACTGGCTAGTTGTAAACTAGCACTAGCTAATGTTAGCGGCCCGTGTTAGCTGCTCGTTTACACGTCAGCTCATGTAGCGGGAGCTAGCCAGCGACAACGTTAGCCTCACTTTAACAAAATGTTTTGTAGTAGTTATTAATTTGCCTGGAATGTTAGCGGGCGATTTACATGGGAACGTTTGTTAACATTAACATTGGGTGACATTTGGTTGTATCACCAAGTCATTAAACGTGGCTAGCTTAACCTTAGCCCTATAGCATATGTTTTAATAAGGTTTTCAGTGCCTTTAAGAATCTAAAACTACACCCTCAATGTTGTTTGATACTACACTATGTGCAACTAAAGAAATGCATAACTAAGGATATCTACTCGTCGGGCATTAAATCATTTAGCACGTTTGTCAACAATACGGGCGAATGCTAGAGATTCAGACAGCGCAGTTTGTGCTGTTGGTTTAAAAAACACAAGCCCACACTGCTGAAGTAAACAAGTAATCTGGAGCATGGCTCTTAAATGCCTAAACGAATATGAGCCCTGTAACCAAAAGAGGCCTCTACCGGATATATCAGTCGAGGCATTTTGTTTCTTGCAAATGTATAGTCTCTCTCAATGACTGATAAATAGTCATTGCTTTGATTTAGCCTCATAATGAAAAAATAAAATTTCCTCCTCACACATTACATTTTTCGAATTGAATCCTAATTGGTTGAAGCACAGGGATGATAGATTCTAAGTGAATGTCTTTAAAAAGATTTAAGAGCTTTCTGGGGGGTTGTGATTTTGATGAGACTTTATGTTAGATAATCATGTTTGTAATATAATGCCAGACTGTTTTAATCCATTTGATGAGTTGCATATTGTTGATTTCTTTATAATGCAAAGAGGTTTAGAAGCCAACACTGAAAAACAGTAGGTGACATCGGAATTCGTCACTGGTTTAGTTTTTCCTGAAAAGGGAAGTTGCCTCTTTCATATCAAATGTTTATAGTTCCTTAGTTTTTCAGAAGCAGATGTTGCTGAACTTCTTGCTGTCAAACAAAGGGCGAGAGTTGTCCTTGGTTATGTGACCTGTAGCAGGACCACACTGGACAGTTAGCATCAATTTAAAGTTTAACCTGGCCAATGTTGGACACCCTCACATGACGCTTAGTTGTATTTCCTGCTACACCACTCAAAGACTCGCACATCATTTAATCATCTTACGGAACAGACATATTTTACCGTGCTGCTGTGAAGTGACATCCCCACAAGAAACCAGGTTTTTTTAGATAATGAGGCTGTCTATTTATGTTTTACTCATTACAGACCTGTCTGCTTTTTTAGAGTGACCTGGTAGCCTCACCTGTTTGTGTCATTTTAGTGTATAGTTGTTTTCCTTTAGTTAAATAATCTTAATTCTAGAAATACTCATTTATTATTTTTTAACAAAGGCATTGCAGAAATAAACACTTACTAAATGGTCTTTATTTGTTTTTTCAATGGCAATTTGGTATACAGTACATGAAAAATAAATACATTTGTAAACTTTTAAGTAGTTCGATCATGGTGACATTGTTATGTTTAGAATCAGTGTGACTTGACAAACTGGGCCAATGTTCTCCTACGTCATAGATATCATTATCAAATTTCAGTTCAACATTTGATGCAGCTCTAATTTCTTTAACTTCATGTACTACAAAATAATTTTAATTATTTTCAGAACAAAGAATTGTCTTCTTAAATGTCAGCTTGACGCACAAAACCTTCATGTTTGCAGACTTCTCTCGTATTCTTTCAACGTTCAACACTGTACTGGTTCTCTTATAATTTCTTTTAATAATCGGCTTTTGCAAGTCCACACTCAGGCACAACTGTGGGTGGTCTCACAGGATCAGGAAATGCAATTTATATTGTATAATATCGTTTGTCAGGGGCATCCTTAAAATAGATTCCAGAGTAAGATTCGATTTGTTAATGTGTTACCATCAGCAGGCACTTTAAGGCACGCTAATCGCTGTTACTTGTCAGCTAACTGCCTCTTTCTGCGTGTCTGTCCCTGTCTCCATCTAGCCTCAGGGAATTGGTGAGCCCAGTGTTTACCATGCTGTGGTGGTCATCTTCCTGGAGTTTTTTGCATGGGGTCTCCTCACCACACCAATGCTCACGGTAAGCCTGGACACACACTTCCTCAGCAGAGGCATTGTTATGTAAACAAAGGTTCTTGTAAACCCAAGCCAAAGGATGGCATTTCTCATTGACTGGAATCACACAAGGCCCATCAGTGTCTATGAATAATTGAATCCCTAATCAGTTGAGCAAAACCCAGGAGGATTTTGTTTTTCATGGTTGTCTGTACGCAGATGTTTTGCCAGGCACTCTGATGAACAGAGAAATATGAATAGGGCATCAAACACTTGTATTGTTTGAACATCGTTGCTTTGTTAAAAAGGCTTATCAGGGGGTCACTGGTTTGTGTTGTCAGCCCACAGTACAGGTGCTGGCCTGGCAACCCACACCACATCACACCACATGCTCTGTAGTAGCAAAAGCCATGCTGCCAGAAAATAGACTAGAGGTTGATGTTTCTTGAACTTTTAATGAAGCAAGATGTAGTCCGCATTCTGAGTTTGTCTCACCATGTAAAACACCATGTCCTTCAGCCAAACATGAATGATTAATAAAAACATCAAGTTTGAATTCATGGCACTGAAACATCTGGGGAGTTGAAAACCAAAACCAAGCCAATCTTATTGCCTGTAAACCTTTACAATCCAGTGAAGATGCATTTCTGTGATGTGATTTAGTCTGAGGTTAATATATTGTTGTACCTGTGACTATAATGTTTGCGTATTGGGGAGGGAGGGTTGCTTTGTCTTGCCTATATATTGTGTGATTTTACTTCAAAATTCAAGAACACTTATAGCTTTTAAGCATGTTTATTTTAACATAGTTATGTCTCCATTCAACTCTCGGAATTTGCTTTGATCAGATTTGAGATAATGTTCGAAGAAAAGATATACTAAAGATCTATTTTCATATCAGCAAAATTTATCAATTGTGTCTTTATCGCTTTTCATCGCTTTTAATCTTTCAGTCAAGTTTTGTAAACATTTAATTATTTTCCATGGCCTCTTTTAAACTGCACACCTATCCCCATAATCATAAATAATCCTAGTTACGCAGAAACTTTCATTTCAGATTAAGAGTAAACATCTGTGATCCACATGATGTGGACCAGTATGCAACATACTTTTCGATGGTGGTTATATGTGCAACTGCTCAGCATTAATTACAGGGTGTTTGTTGTCCGCACAGTCTATGGATGGAGGCAGGATTTGCATTTCAGACTAATCAGATGCTTCCCAAAGATGAGAAGTACTGCTTCACTGCTCCCAGTGACTGCACTGCTTCATTAGTATCCAGCAGCAACAGTCCTCACTAAGCATTCAGGGTTTGTTTGTGTTTGTAACTCAATCTCAGAGGAAGAGAGGAGATTCTTTGCTATTGCTTTAGCTTTTCCTCTGTAGTCTTGAACAATAACCAGATTCTGTTACTCTGTGTCAGTCAAGCTCCACATGTCCTAAAGTGAACTAAACAAAACATTTTGTTCTAACGGCTGTGTCAAAGACCAAAAACTTGTTATGGACTTTGAGCTCAGCGTCCCATATATTTTAACCATTCAAACTACTCTTTCCCTTCTTCATGCAGACAGGGGTCGCATACATTATCTGTGTAGTTAACAAATCCCTACAATACACATCCCCCTTTAATTTAATTTTTAAGCAGGTAGCATTTTACTTAACTGATAAATTGAGTATTTTTTTAGAATTGGACGCTCCTATCAGCTTACAAAGAGGCTGTAAAGTTTTTAGTTTTTGTGGACAAACTTCACCATCAGCAGAATAAAAATGAATCCAAACTCAAACCACAAATTATTTAGGCAGATAAAACACTGTGAAACAGCAAAAACTTACCACTTTTGTCTATTGCTAAGCTCACTTCATTGCTTGAGGTATGAGTTTATTTGCCTCAGGTAAATAAAACAACTTTTTTATAGTCGCTCCCTTCTGATGAGTGGGCACTTATCTTTTGAACTTTCCAGTAGAAAGAGGCACTCGATCTGAGCATTAATCTAGAGAAGATTAATTCATTATCCACTAGAAAACACCTGTCTGCCATCTTTGCATGGTAAATTTGAACTAAATTTAGCACTCATGTGAGGAATGTCAACCATCTTCATCAACAGGGAATTCCTAACGTTTAGAACACAAAAACTTCAGGAATGCTAATTTTGAATGTCAGAACCAAGCAGGTGTTTGGGGTAAGCTTACATTAAATACTAATAGATAATCAGTTCAGTAATATTCCAGAGAAAGTTTCCAGTACTTCACTGTGTGTTTGTGGTTTGTAACCCATCCATTTTCTATGTGCTGAAATGGGTTCAGTGACAGGGGGGCTGCCATTGTGAGAGCGGTGAAATGTTTCTTCAGGCTAGGACATATTTTTGTTTTTCCTCGTGGAAAATGTCAAGAGTATCCTGAGAAGCTGTCATCCAACAAACCCCAAAGTAACCTAACAAATGTTGACTTGTTGGTCAAAGCCTTAAGGAAACTAGTAGAAAATAAAACATAAAATAACTGTTGAATACAGTTTGACTGTAACGTTCATTCATTTCTTTGTGATCACAAATGACATTTTGAAAGAAATTTCTTCCATAATCATTTAGTATGTCTGTCCACTCTTCCACCATGCTGGTACAGTTTGCTCTGTAGATGCAGGTTATCTAAAAGCTCTGTTTTTTCCCACTGTAAGTCATTGTTTCTAGTGTGATGCAGGATGGATATAAATTATTTTATCTCTTTGGCTTTTAGGTTTTACACCAGACATTCCCCCAGCACACATTCCTGATGAATGGACTCATTCATGGTGTGAAGGTAAGACTCATTTAATGATGGCACTTAAACATAAACACATGCAAAGTAATGGAACACAGTCCTGCTTGACAGGTCTGCCAAACTTATTGTGTTTAGGGAGGGAGGCTGTCTCGAGGAAGACGGAAAGGCTTGCCTATGTTGTTATTTTATTTTTATTTTTTTTGTAATAAATAGTTGGGATTGGAAAGTCCCAACAAGTAGCACAATACATTATTTTAAACACTAAGGAAGTTTTTTTTTCCTGGACAATATCGTTTTACATATCATCTCATTATATTTTTTTTTTATCTGGCCACGCAAAGTGGGTGATTTATTACTATCCTTTGGTTTTCACAGGTCTTTTTTTAGAGCAGTGAGAACCGATGAGCTTTAAATGTGTTACTTGTGTTGATTTTAGTGTTAGTCATAAGTACGGAGGCTGTGATCTGCCGTTATCCAAACTAAACACAAAAATAAGATAACAGCTAAATAATGAATAAATGCTACCAAAATGAAATGCAGAATCATTTAACAGAATATGAAATATGTCCATTTTGCTACTTTATCCTTTTTTTATTTCTTTATCTTACATTTGCATTTCTGCTTTATTACACACAGTGTTCTGAAAAGATACAGAATTTGATGGAGAAAGCTTTTAATCTGTCTGATTAAATCTGGGTTGATTAAGTTTATGTTGACCGGACAAATCCTTCTATCAAACAGTCTGTGTCCTCTTTGTCCTCTTCACCTATCTTTATCGTATATTTCAGGGCTTATTATCATTTCTGAGCGCTCCTTTGATCGGAGCATTGTCAGACGTATGGGGACGCAAGTCCTTCCTGCTGCTAACGGTCTTCTTCACATGTGCGCCCATTCCACTGATGAAGATCAGCCCATGGTGAGAGCCAGAAACTGACATCTACGCATTTATCTTATCTTTATATCAAAGTTAACTGTTATAACAGAAGAATTACGCACGTTGACACTTCACTAAAATAACAGAGGGACATTCTTCCTGTAATGGTACACTGTAACATTGCAGTCTTACAGCATATTAAATAAATAACTTTCTGTAAATCGGGTAATTCCAAGCCTTTTGTGCTTACAGGTGGTACTTTGCAGTCATTTCCATGTCTGGGGTGTTTGCCGTCACTTTCTCTGTAATCTTTGCATATGTGGCGGACATCACACAGGAGCATGAGAGGAGCACAGCATATGGTTTGGTGAGGAAGTGTTAGAATAAAACTTTACTTCACATAAGTCAAACAAGTTGATGTCCCTTATCCTTCATTACCCATGCTTTCTTTCGACCTCCCATCAGGTATCTGCCACCTTCGCGGCCAGCCTGGTTACCAGTCCGGCCATTGGGGCCTACCTTTCTGTGGCCTATGGCGACACCCTGGTGGTGATATTGGCCACAGCAATCGCCCTTCTCGACATCTGCTTCATCCTGGTGGCCGTACCAGAATCGCTGCCAGAGAAAATGAGGCCGGCGTCTTGGGGAGCACCTATCTCCTGGGAACAGGCAGACCCCTTTGCTGTGAGTTGTCACTCGGTATTATGCTCTGAGCACCAGCTCTCAACAAAGTTGTTTGCAGTGTGGTTGCTAATTGTAAGGTTGGGTTTCTCGCACAAAGATTCTTGGAGTCGAAATTAACAAAGAATAATTGTTTGGCAATGTTTTTGTAAGTCACGTAGTGCCCAAGATATGCGAGCAGCTGTTCTTGTACAAGTGAGCACCTCGGGGCTTTTGGCTTATCTAAACCATCCCACTGAGGCCTGAACATTACCATTTACAAGGGTAGCCTGTTATTTTGATTAGGCTTCTAATTCATAATTACATTCTGTCTGGCGTGCATTTGCACCCCTCTGGTTGTTGCTTGCATGACGCAGGAGAGCTGGCTGTGTTGCTCTGGCCTCGTTGAAGGAAGAATCAACATTTGACCGCTCCCTGTCAGTAAAGCTGAAGCGTTCTCTATGTTTTCTTGTGCAGTCTCTGCGTAAAGTGGGCCAGGACTCCACAGTGCTCCTCATCTGTATCACAGTGTTTCTCTCCTACCTCCCTGAGGCTGGACAGTACTCCAGCTTCTTCCTCTATCTCAGACAGGTAACATTCTTCATCTGCTACTCACATTTACAGGATAACTACAAAAAAAGCTCAGGTTACTCTCCTTTGCTGTGCACTGACACGCTTACTGCAGTCTGAAATGACAAACACTAACAGTAGCTGCCTTAAGTGGCTCAGTGCTTCTAAGGAAGAGGGCACAACTTATCAGATAAGGGACAGAGTTGATATTTATGCCGAAGGACCCTGAGAATGTATCATGACTTCCTCTTTCAACAAACATGTAGAACTGAGGCTTGTTTGTGTAAACGGTGTCAGATTAACCAGTTTGGCAGGTTTGTCTCTCAAAGGCTGATACTACGTCTCCACTTTCTTGGAAAACATTCCTGTACCCTTTGAAAAGTTGATTCAAACAACTCACAAGCACCTTATTCGCCCTCCTATTTTTGTGTTGAATTTGGCTTATCACATTTCTTGCTCACTTATTTGCACATGTTACACACTCACACTGACATCAGCTGCTGCACTTCTGCAGCCTGAATGTCCCTGAATGTTAAAGAGAAGCCCTGTATCTGAGAGTTTGAACAGTCTTTACACAAGAAAAACAGTAATGTAACACCTCATCGTCTTTGTGTTGGGCTTGTTTTGTATTTCTGTTCAGTGTTCTCATTTGTTTTGTCTTGCCCTCAGGTCATAGGCTTCTCCTCAGAGACGGTTGCTGCCTTTATTGCAGTTGTGGGGATCCTCTCAATATTAGCTCAGGTAAAAGACTATAAACTCGTCTTGATCCGAATCCAAATGTAACATTATTCCATGTCACTTTGTTTTGGGTTTTTTTATTTGAAACCCTTGTGTGAATTTTTACATGGGTGACCATTTCCCAATCAGTTCATTTTTGTTCCATGAAATGAGTATCTAATGATTATATAAGATTATCAGACCTCAGGAGCTAAAGCCCTTGTCATTTAACTTTTGTCCTCAGACGGTGGTTTTGGGTATCCTGATGCGCTCCATAGGGAATAAAAACACAATCCTGCTTGGCCTTGGCTTCCAGATCCTGCAGCTTGCCTGGTATGGCTTTGGTTCTCAGCCATGGTGAGTAAATCTTACTACCCGTTTGCCCACGCATCCTTTTCTCCATTTAATCGGCAAATGTGATGTCAAGGGTCAAAAGAAGCTGGTAATGATAAATAATTAACCCCATTTTGATACTCAACTATCTGGTGTCTACAAATTTAGAAAAAAGAAGTTCATAAGAACTCAAGATCTGTTATTTCACCTTGGACCATAAGGGGGGCTGAATTAGAAATAGTTTTGTACAGAAACTCATTATTCTGTACGTCACTACCTGGACAGACCACTAGGGGGAAGCAGACTCTGCTGTAATCCTCTTACCAGCTCAAGTTAACCAAACTGCACCTTAAAAGTATTTTTGGGACCTTTTTTTTGAATGGCTGCACATTGTCTCTTATTATGTCAGTAATATTATGTCACAACCTGTCCCTCCAAGAGTGTTAATGATATATATTTTTAATATATATTTTCAAAAACAATTAAAATTTTTATTTATCTATTAGAGAGACCATCTGCTGAGCAACAGCTCACCCTGAAGATTCTCAGATTTTCAGAAGGGTTATGGTATCCGACTCTGTGGTGTCTCATCCTCTCTAAAACACTCCACTAGTTCCACCAGTTTGTTAATTAAAGACTAATATCGTCATCCTGGAATATTTTTTGTACTCTTAATGGAATCGAAATGTTTATGAACAAATGTTTTTTTTCTCTCCATATTTTCTGATTATAACAAGGAAAGCTGGCAGACACAACCAATGCACAGCTAACAGGGCATGTTTTACTTCCCTTTAAATGAAGTCGTTCAGGACTCGTTGTTTTGGTCTCGAGGAGAAGACATGCACCAGTTATATCTATTGATTCTGAAAGAAAACATTCACAATGCGTCTCCTCTCGGCTTTGTTCAATACACCAGAAATTGAGTTAAGAAAAGGTCAAGTTGGATGTGTCATACATTAAGAGGAAAACCTTCTGTGTGCTCACGATCACCCAAAAAAATGACTCGTCTTACAGATTTGGTCTCTGCTACTAAAATTACAACCAAACAGAATGCTGCAGAAGAACATACGTGTGTTGTAGCCAGGCTTTAGTTTCAGAAAGTTCAAATGAAAATGGCTTGTTTGTTTTCTTTTTGGCTGTAGGATGATGTGGGCAGCGGGAGCTGTTGCAGCCATGTCGAGCATCACGTTCCCAGCCATCAGCGCCATCGTGTCCCGCAACGCAGACCCTGACCAGCAAGGTAAACCCCCCCCCCCCCACTCTTTAACTGTCTGTCTGATTCTCATTTTCTCATCTTCATCAGAGCTCACATTAACTGAAGTCATGCGCTGTCAGTATCCTTTTGCTACGTGCTGCTAGATGTTGTCATTGTTGAGATCGAGGGCACTTGCTGAAGCATGAAGTGTTTGGACGCCGTTTGGCATGCCTGTTCCCACCTATCTGATGCCAGGGATCCGGTTCTGCCGGGTTCCGTGTGCACAACCTGACGACGCTGTTCCATGTTCCCGTGTCATGTGTAGGTGTTGTCCAGGGGATGATTACTGGGATCCGGGGGCTCTGTAACGGCCTGGGCCCCGCTCTTTACGGCTTTGTCTTCTACCTGTTCCACGTGGAGCTAAGCGACACGGACGGCTCAGAGAAAGGTGCCAAACCCAACATGGCTAACCCCACTGACGAGGTGAGCTTCCATCGTTCACGCTGCTCCCAGTCCGTTTCTAAGCTCCCCTGCTGGGTATTGATTCTCCTTTTTTGCCCTCCTCTTTAGAGTGCCATCATCCCCGGTCCTCCCTTCCTCTTTGGTGCATGCTCAGTGCTGCTGTCTCTGCTCGTGGCCCTGTTCATCCCCGAGCACACGGGGCCCGGCATGAGGCCCGGAGCCTACAAGAAGCACAGCAACGGAGCACAGAGTCACTCCCACAGCCCCCAGGGCAGTGGGGCCGAGGGCAAAGAGCCACTGCTGGAGGACAGCAGTGTATAACCTCTGCTGAGGGGGGGCGACTCCCTCGCTCCGCCCCCAGAGGCCCCTCCACACACGGACAGACACACATTTTACCACATGGACGCTGATGCTCCTCAGGAACACATCAGAATAAAGAGCCGCCAGTCGGAGTCTGTGACCATGTGTCGGTGTCCACAGCACAAAAGTGGGCGCCCCCTCCCCGGCAGCCCTCTCCTAAACGCGGGGTTTGTGAGGACTCTCTTAACAACCCCGTATGAAGAGGCTGCTTTGAATCTTTTTTTCAGGTTGGAGTTCAGAGGTGTGTGAGTGTGACCTGGCTCAGCTGGACTCCAGTCTCTGGTTTCTCTGAAGCTGTAACAGAGTGGAAAATGTAACAGCCCCCCCACCTGCTCCTGCTGCTTAACAGGACCGAGGCGATTTTGGTTAAGAGTGCAAATGGAGTTTATCTCAAATGTTACTAAATACCTGTGTGAGTGTTGATACTGCTCTTAAGTTAGTCAAGTGGCAACTCTGTGAAACCGGAGTGTGACAAAGGGTTAGGTGAGCACCTTTGTAATGCTCTTTCATGAGCCAGCTTCTGGTAAATCATCCCGAAGGGGTCACGGCTCATCTGTGCACACAACAGGAAGGCTCAGTAACTGTAAGGGGAGAGTCGGACGGCGCTGCCTAATCCCAGTTTGGATGGTCAACCAGTTCAGAACTCGGACCGCTTTGGTAGGACCACACTTTGTCCGAATATCACACTTCTTTCAGAGAGAAGTGCACAAAAGAGACCACTTTATTAGCTGAACTGTTTCTCAATGTTTACTTGCCAAACTCTAGATTCATAGTACAGTTTGGGTTGTATATTTTTCTCTGTTAAAACTGAAGGCTAGTTGTGCTTCAAGTTTTTATTCAAGAAACAAATGTTGCCTTGAAGTGACTTAAGATAAACATACAGAGACGTTCCGCAACCTGAATGAAGACCGTGGTCTGAGAAGGCTCTGTAATCTTACGCTATTGCTCCCATCGGAGCGGCTTGACACTTTTTATTCCTTTGTATTCATGCCCTTCCCGTTACTTAGTTCCCTGACATTTATCACCATCAGGGTTAAGGCTTACAGAACCACAGTTTTTATTTGAAAAGCCTCTGGACCATTTGGAGCTGGAGCTTCATTATCAGCATGTCAGTGCGGCCACTGACTGTTAACAGCCAGTCTTTGAATGAATATCATTAGGTTTATAGAGAGCATCAGTCATGTGGCGTCAGTGGGAAAAGTCAAAGGTTAAACGGGCCGTGGCGCGGTAAATCAGGCGGTAAAGGTTTCTACAACGGTTTCACATAATTCCAAATACTGAAGCTGCCATACAGTTTAAAAAAAGAGACACTGCTTATTTTAAGATGTAGCCTCTAACGACTCGTGGTCGACAGTCCTGTGGCCGAAAACGATTTTCATCCCGATTCCCATCGAAGCGGCAGATGTCATCGTGGCCGAACGATTCTTTAAAGGCAGAGGTCCGGCTCCTGGCTGGACCTCTGCCCCTGTACCCGCAGCAGCCTGCAGGAGCCAGCGGCGGGTGTTAAACCCGCTGCAGCACCGGCTCAGCTAAAGCAATGTTGATGTCACCAACCGGCAAGAAAGGGTTTTTTCTGTTGTTGTTTTTGTTTGTTTTTTTTTTCTTAATGGTCTTTTATTTTCAACAAATGCAGAAATACGAGCTGAGACTGAAATCATCCAGAGAACTGTGAACATATTTTTCTCTGTCAGAGGAAAAGTCACGGTTCAGAGACAGACGTGTGTCCAGGAGAGAGTCTCTGACTAAATGTCCCTGACTGCGTAGAGGCTAAAGTGAATCCTCAAAAATAAAAAAGGACCCACACACACCCCTTAACTCTGTGATCATCTAAGGTCATCGGTGGTGCAGCTGCCCACCCACGGCCGTCGGTCTTTTGCATTTGTTCACAAACCGTTTGTAACCGCAGAAATCTGCCACTGATCAGTAAATTTCTAAATGCTTCAACTAGAATTGGTGAGTCTCACTCTGTTTGACATCTCTGAGCTGAAATGTGTCACAAATTTTGTGCCAAAATAGTTTGTTCTATTTTTTTCTTTTCTTTTTTTTTTTCATGTACATTGTGTGCGAGTGTTGTGGATGTTACTTTGGCTGTCATGTTTTCACTTTTCTTACTTTTTTCGTCAGAGAATCATAATGTAAATTTTTTTTCAGACTTTTTAACAATTAAAACTTTTTAAGGATTCTTTTCAACATTAATCTGAAGATGTTAGATGAGAATTCTCTTTCTTTTCAGTCTTCATTTTAACAACAAGCATTTCAAGTTTTTCTGTTTTTTGTTGTATCTGTTTTATTTTCATTTTTTCAAGCTTTTTTTTTCTTTTCTTCCCGGATTTATCTCTGAATGTTCCGAGAGAAGAGGAACACGTTGACCATCAATATTCGCAACACTGACTCTACCTATCATAGTTTTTTAGTCTTCTAGAGGGGTTGTTGCTCAACAAGAGGCCATCAAATCATTTCTGTTCAGTGTTAATTCTCCTTTCATTTCTGCCTCATTGTTTGAAAACTGAAGTAAAAAAACACACATTCAGATTTGCTGTAATTGGTTCGATTCTGCACCAGCCCCACGTGCACTCATACAGCCTCCAAGCAGACGACTGTAAATGTCTGAAACCCCTCTGTACGTACAGCAAATGTATATATTTATTGCTCAAGGAGATGGCCGCCTCTTGGTCTCTTTGGTTGTATGGTGCAGTTATTCTATATTTCTCAAGACTTACCTGCTAGCCACTCTTGTTTTTAGTATGATGTGGTTTGTGGCCTGAACCCCTTCTCTGTGTGCCTAAAATTAGCCAAGAAATGAGTATGGCAACGTAAGTAAATGGTGGTTATTATGTAAATATGGGAAACTAATGAACTATTTATTAAAGGTTTATTGTACAATGATGCGGTGAAATGTTTGTGTGCTTGTGTGTGGGCCATTTTTGTTGTCATTTTCCGTTTGTTTACATAGTTTTGAACCTCAACATAAGCTTTTCTTGAGTTTAAGGCAAAGATCCTAAAATTAATGACCAACCTTTAATCCATTTATTCCCGATACAATCAAAATTCTTGCTAAATGTTAACTTCTCTTTTCAAATACTGTCATGCATGTAAGTAAAACGTAAACATGATCGAAACAGCCTCCCCGGTCCTGAGCTAATTTGACAGTTTGAGGTGGCTTTAAAGACTTTGTCACTCCTCTAGCTTTGTTGACCCCTTGTAGCACTTGACACGACAAAGCTCTTGAACCTATTTGCTCATATTGCTTCATATTCAGAGACTCTTATGCACGTATTAGTCTGGGACTTGGCTTACACTACCAAACACACTGTTGACCTCTCCAGGGTCAATGTGGAGCATGTGAAATGGGGAATCTGGAGTTTGGCCGGAATATGCTTCCCGGGGTTTAGCGAAATTTGTTTTAGAAATCCTGAACTTGGCGTCCTCCAAGCTAAAAGGAGAGGGAAGACTGAGTTCCCAGTTCAAAAGCCAGTTAGGAGGATATGACTATTAGTGCACACAACTCCGGTGAATGCATCACTGATAATGAAAACAAAGGACAGCTTTTTGCTGCAAAGTTTGTTTTTTTTTTCCCTGGAAAGATCATGTTAGATATAGCAAGTCTGCCCAAACACATTCTGTGTATTGTATAACAGCAGGGGTCTATTCATTTGACTATATTCCTGATCGGTTTATGGACATCTGTTGACTATTGAGAGCCAACTTTCACATGGAAAGCAACAGCACCACCAGGCTTTGTGATGGCGTCGCCTCTGGGGCTCACATCTCTGTCTCTTCCCCCTGCACCGACAGGACCAAAACCTTTTTTTATTTCTAAAAATACCAGCGCATTCCAGCACTGACACAAACAAAAAACCCTCACGCTTCAAGTATGCTAGCGTGTTGCTACACGAGGCCGTCGTCGTTGCATCGCCTCTGCTTGTGCATTTTGAAAAACCCGGCCCGTTTCAGCGGGCGGTGGGAACTTGGCGGTTCAGAGGGGACGTTTCCTGCTACATTAGAAGAATCGTCCCCGGCCGGCGGTTTCCTCCGTGTGCAGAAATGTGATGATGTCCGCAAAAGACTCCACGAGGAGCAGCAGGTGTTACGTGGTCTTAACCTGGGATGGAAGAGATAATAATAAGACTCTTAACCATAATCCATGCCCATTTTTTTTCCCCTGACAGGCCCGGCAGCGCTGGGTAACTGCGCTGGATTTAGTTACAATGGACTCATCAGCACAATGTGCTCACATATTGAGCGTCGATAATCGCCGTGGCACGCAGGCCCCGGTAAAACGGCGGGCGGTTCACGCCACGGTGGCTCCGTGCCTCTCCCGTTCGGCCTGCAGCTTCCCCTGCCTCCCCCCTCGGAAAAAAATGTTTGTGGACAGGCAGAGAAGGGTGGCGGAGGTGGTGGTGGTGGTGGTGGTGGTGGGGGGGGGGGGTGTTTTAACTTGCAGCCTTCGGTGCTTGTGGCTGCATCAACAAACGGCAGGTTCCAGCTTTCTGGGGAATTAGGGGCACAAAGCCTTGTCAGGATTAACAGCTCTCTGGCAGGGAAAGGATTGGGCATGTTTTAACAAGAGCAACTTTACTGAGCTTTAGGGGGAAGCTTCTCAGATGACCTCCTTGGCATGAATGAGTCTGGAGTGTCTCTCGTAGCGTATTTGCTCCGACCGCGGGACTATCCGGGGTAACTGCACCGTGATGCGTTAAGGTGCTCCGGGCGGGCGTGCGTGAGCCGATTGGAGGCCACGCGTGGCCCCCCCCGGCCCTGCTGCCTGTGCGTGGGAGCATCCATTAACCTCAAAGGGCGAGCCGCATCCATCAAGCTGCTCGGAACTTTAAAAAATGGCCTGCGTTTGGAAAAGCACTGGGAACGGCAGCGGGAGGAAGTCTTTTTTTCTTTTCTTTTTTTTCACACGGCCCCACAGGCACGCCGTCAGGGAAGGGGAAGTGGGCCCATCGGTGGACGTCACGACACGAGACAGCTACGTTTCCTGTGGTAAACATCTCTGCTGGCGTCTAGGAAGAACCCCGGGACGATCAATGGGTGAACCTTATTGTTCCCGGGGCCGGGGTTCAGCGGTGCGAGCCCGGCTTTGTCGCTGACCTTTGCCCGCTTTCCCATGTTCTTTAAGCGGGCCGGCCACGGGGTCTGTGCTGTCCGCCCGTCACCTACGATCGGCCATTCATTCGGGCATTCAGCCCGTGAGCCCGTCTCGGAAATGGCCGCTTCATTCCCAAGATTCACTCACCTTTCCACAGCCCCGGGCCCCTTTTCTTTCTTTTTTTTTTCTCCGCAGTGCATCTAAAGAGAATATATTTACCCACATGTACTTACTCCTGGGATGCCTCCCACTCATCTGACGGAGAGCCAGGAGCTCTCATCGCTGTGAACCCTGACCCTGTCTGAGTGCTACCTACATATCCACGTGTGGCAAAAAGCCTTTATGTAAGAGCACTCTTCTTGGAAAGCTAATCATTTCAAACAGATTCATGACATTACTGAGGTCGTGAGCATAAACCTGTGCTGTGAAATGACCACCTCCACCAAGGGTTTCACACAAATCGCGGCGTGTTACCTCCCATGATTTTTCACTGTGCTCCTCGGGCCATGTCAAAAAGCCCCTTCACATCTTTCTAATTCAAAACGGAAACTTCAAGATGAGCACGGCTTATCGGCTCAGATCTTTATCATCGCAGTCCGGTCTTCAGAGGAAGCAGCCAGATTTATTTTCAGACATGTTTTCTGTTGCAATGTGGTTAAAAAAAAGTATCTCTAACGAAGAAATAGCAGACACCCAAAGCATCTTGAGGTCTTTTACCCATCTGTCTATTTACTCTGACGCTTTGTGTCATATTACAGCATCCCCAAAATCTCAGATAAGCCCACCATACACAACTTGTCGAGCACCAAAAAAACAAAGCCCCCAAGTTTGGCTGTTTGTTAAAGTACAAACAGCCACACATAGATGATACTCCTTCACAATAACAGAGCGAAAACAGTCTTTTGGCAGGTTCTTTTCAACGTTTGAGATTTTAAAAAGTCCTAACTCATGTAGGTACAAAATCCTCATCCAATCATAGAAAGAAAGGCACATTTACACCTTTAGTTCGCCTAATGTGGAAGCTGTGAGAAAAAGAACATTCTCCGTAGTCCTACAGGACAGGACTATAACAACCTAAAGATCTCACTTAAGATACAAGAGATTCCAACTGCATTTTTGGTGTCTAAAAGCCCACCAATCTCCATCATAGATCCTTATCCTGGCAAGCCAGTAATCAAAGAGTTAACAAACAAACCAAGAGTCATTATGATTAAGAAGATCTTTGTGGATATGGGAGAACCTTGAAAAGAGACAACCGTGAGTACAGTCAGGCTCATTCAATTATTAAAAGGCCTGCCCTGGTTTCCTGAGACTCTGAGCCGGCTGTTTCTCCCAGCCATTCTAAGATATGTTTTTTTCTCCATATTGTCCATAAAACAATGAAGGATTTGTTTGATTTCACTTATATTAGACAAAAAAATTTCTAGACGTCTAAAAATATTTTTGCACCATTTCGGTCTAAATTATTTTTGTTGCAGCTCTTGTCAACATAACAGTTTTATGATTTGCATTATTCGGGTTGTCAATCATTTTTCAAAACACGGTGTCCAAATACCACTTGTGTTCATGTTTTTTTTTTTTTTTTTGGAGCCAGGGAATAAGTCATATTCCTTTTCCAGGATATGAGTTTGCTTATTGTTTGCTTTCCGTTTCTGATTTCCAGACAATGTCGCAGTGCTTTTTCAACAGCCAACATGTAAATATCGGATGTTTAAGTTTCCTTGAGGGCGTCGCAGAGGAAGGCTTTGTGCAATGGATGAAAATACAACACGGTACAAGTGACTTTACCAGGAAGCTCAGAGGTGGGAAATTGTTTATGTCATTACATATTATTTTTATATCATGAAAGCATCATTGGAAAAACTAATCTTTTGTGTTTCCTTTTTTTGTGTGTTTGGGGATTATATTGGGTTAGCAAATGTATTCCATTATCCTTTGTGTACCTATAAAATCTACTGAGATACTGTTCCTTCTCGCCATCTCTTTTTACCTTTTGCACAGACACACAAAGAAAGGTGGAGATATTTCTAGAGTTTAGTTTTGTGTGTTTGTTAACTTTTGACCTGTTTTTCCTGTTGCACAGGTTGCGTTGAGGGAAATACTTTAACACACTGCTACCACCAATAAAGCAAATTCCTCACCTAAGAAACCGTCATAGCGATGTAGATTTTAAATTTGGGTGGTTTTAAATGGTAAAACTCCCTCTTATATGGGGCCCAGTCTCAGTGGCGCATAGTTCTACTGACCTTTCAGAAAAAAACTAAATTCAAACTTCAGAGACAGAGAGGTCTGACCATGAAGTGTTGTAAGTCAGACACAGAGACTCACGCAATCTCACATTTGTTAAAAAAAGAAAGAAAAAACCATGCTTAGCTCAATAAGGACCTCCTGACCTAAAAGAGCCTGTTTTAGCTGCTGTTTGATGGGTTGCCATGATTGATCAGTTAATCGATCAGAGAGCGAGGACTTTAAAATAGCTGCTCATTCTTTGTGTTAAGTTTGTCAAGCAAGCATTGTCAAGCAAGCATTGTAAAGTGGTCAGGAATTATAAGCCCAGACAGTCAGTGAGGTCCTTCAGATTGCTCTAAAAGAATATTTTCTATAAGGAAATTGTTCTTTTGTTTTTTACCTACAGAGAAGGTTGGAAACAGGCTTATAAATACTTTAAACTAAAGTGAAAACTGTATCAAACAATTCAATTGGACAATGGTACACATGATGTTGTGTTTCTTATCATCTCTCCGTAACACAAACTGAGAAAAACATCTACCTACAAACGCTTAAATC